GAGTAGCAATGCCGCGAGGAGACATGACTTTGTGATAGGGTTCTTCTAGGTAGGATTAATGAACCTCGAAAAAGAACCAAGAGAAGAAGTAGGGAATCCAGAGAAAGAATGGAATCCGAACAGCAGTAGTTTTATTGAATTAATGGAGTTCCAGAATTACAATTGAAAAAATGAATGCCAACTATTCTTTACAATCTGCTATATATAGCAGTAAATCTAACAAACTAATTACTAACTGAAATAACAACTTCCTGTATCAATCCCTTCCCCTTAAGCAAGTCCTTGTCCTCAAGGACTGAAGTTTGGAAACTTCTTCTTTAAGTCATAATAAAACTCCCAAGTAGCATCTTCAGGCAGCTGATGCTTCCACTTGACCAGCACTTTAGTGACAGCCTTGTTGCCCCTCTTCACAGTAGTTCTGTCAATGATGGTCTCAGGTTCCTTGATAACAGCTTCTTCTTCTAATATTGGACAATCTGCTGAAGTGTTTGCTTCCCCCACTGATTTCTTCAGTTGTGAAACATGAAAGACATTATGTATCAAGGAATGAGCTGGTAATTGCACTCTATAAGCCACAGCACCAATCTTTTCAAGGACTGGATAAGGTCCATAGTATTTAGGAGCCAGCTTTGCATTACTTCTAAATGCTACAGAAATTTGTCTATATGGATGAAGCTTGACAAAGACCAAATCTCCAATCTGAAATTCCCTTTCTGATCTATGTTTATCTGCCAACTGTTTCATCCTCTCTTGTGCTCTTTTCATATGAAACTTGGCCAGCTTAAGCATTTCCTCTCTCTTCTGTAAACTTCTATTCACTAACTCCACCTTAGACTCACCTGGAAGATATGGTAAATAAGTAGGAGGAGTCTGTCCATACACAATTTCATAGGGACTAGTCTTTATAGAACTGTGATATGTGGTATTATACCACCATTCAGCCAAAGGAAGCCATTTGGACCACTATTTAGGTTCATCACAGCACATACACCTCAGGTATGTTTCAACACATCTGTTAACTACTTCTGTTTGACCATCTGTTTGAGGATGGTAAGCAGTAGAAAGCTGGATTTGAACACCTTGAAATGCCATAAACTCCTTCCAAAATTGGTTTACAAACACAGAATCTCTGTCACTTGTAATGGTAGCAGGAAACCCATGTAGTTTGAAAACATTATCCAAGAAGCATTGGGCTACTGTTGCAGCTGTGTAAGGGTGTTGTAAGGCCATAAAGTGGGCTACTTTGCTCAATCGATCAACTACTACAAAGATGACTTGCTTACCAAAAGAGTTAGGTAATCCCTCTATAAAATCCATGGTAATATGCTGCCATATGTGGTTTGGAACTGGTAATGGTTGCAGCAAACCAGGTGATGCAGTAGTATCATACTTGTTTCGCTGGCACACTTGGCATTGTTGTACAAATCTCCTAACATCCTTAGTCATACCCTTCCAATATACTACTGATTTTACCCTGTGAAGAGTAGAATCTCTGCCTGAATGTCCTCCACAAGCAGTAGCATGTAACCATACCAGAATCTGTTTTCTTACTTGTCTTTACCAGCTACCAATCTCCCTTTCCTTCTCAACTCTCCCCCCTGCCAAGAAAAATGTCTATGAGTAGCACTGTCAGCCTGCAACTCATTGATGATTCTTTGTAAATCTTCATCAGTTTGCCAAGTGTTTTTAATTGTATTCAGTAGTTCAGAAGTAGGTTGATGAACTAATAGAGCTGAATACTGTATCCTTGATAATGCATCAGCAGCTACATTCTCACGCCCTTGTTTGTATTCAATATTGAAATCAAACTCCATCAGTTTAATTAGCCATTTCTGCTGGAATGCTGTAGACAACCTTTGATCCAAGATGTACTTTAAGCTTTGATGATCGGTCCTTATAGTGAACTTCTTAGGCAGTAAGTAGTGCCTCCATTTCTGGACTGCAAACACAACTCCTAGCAGTTCCTTTTCATAGGTTGAAAGTGCTTGCTGCTGCTGATTAAAGCTCCTACTAATGTAGGCTATGGGATGACGATCCTGCATTAAAACAGCTCCAACTCCTTGTCCAGATGCATCTACCTCAAGCACAAACTCCTTAGAAAAATTAGGTAAGGCCAGAACTGGTGCTTTGCTCAATTGAGTTTTTAATTCCTGAAAAGCACACTTAGCTTCCTCTGTCCAAGAAAATCCATCCTTCTTGAGCATGTCATGCAATGGTCTGGCTATGGTGCTATATCGGTTGACAAATCGTCTATAGTAGCCCGCTAATCCCAAGAATCCTCTTAATTGCTTCACAAACAGAGGTAAGGCCCACTGTTGCACAGCAATTATCTTAGCAGGATCTGTGGCAACACCTTCTGCTGTGATGAAATGCCCCAAATACTCCACCCTTCCAACTCCAAAATAGCACTTGGATTTCTTGGCAAATAGGGAATGGTTTCTTATAGTGGACAGAACTTGGTATAAATGATTCAAATGATCCTCAAGACAAGTGCTATATACTAAAATATCATCAAAAAATATCAAGACAAATTTCCTTAAGAATTCCTGAAATACAGCATTCATGAGCCCTTGAAAAGTGGCAGGGGCATTTGTCAGTCCAAAGGGCATAACCAAGTACTCATAATGCCCTGAGTGAGTCTTAAAAGCTGTCTTGTGCACATCCTCTTCAGCCATACGAACTTGATTGTACCCAGACCGCAGATCAATTTTAGAAAAGATTTTGGAACTATGTAACTCATCCAACAGGTCATCTACTAGAGGAATAGGAAACCTGTTTTTTATTGTCCCTTTATTCAATTCCCTGTAATCTATACAAAGTCTCCAAACACCATCTTTTTTTCCAACCAAAACAACTGGACTAGAGTAAGAGCTGCTACTGTTCTGAATGATGCCAGATTTCAAGTACTCCAATATGATTCCATCAATGATGTCTTTTTGTTGCTTTGCATATCTATAGGGGCTTCTATTCACAGGATTTGTGCCTTGAACCAGCGGAATTTTATGATCATGCTCAGCTCTTTTAGGGGGAAGAGTAGTTGGTTCTTGAAATACATCTTGAAAATCCAGCAGCAACTTCTCAATGCTGGCAGGAACAGTAATGGAATCAGCATGAGGTGATAAAGACTGCAATAAAGCACCTTCTCCTGTCTCACACACCTGTAACAGGGAGACTTGAACTCCAGTTGAAAGGGACTTATGTAATCGCTGCTGTCTGATTGTCTTAATTCCTGTACCTGTGGTGCCCCTCAAGACAAGCCTCCTACCATGCACAACAAACTCCATGGTCAACTTCTCAAAGTTCCAAATGATATCCCCTAATTTAATCAACCATTCTATACCAAGCACCATGTCACAACATCCCAAGGGTAACAGCAACATGTCAGATTTGAAGGATGTATTATGCAACATCCAAGTAAATTCTTTGACCATACTGTTGATTTGCACCCTAGCACCATCAGCCACAGTGACACTCAAAGGATCCATGTTAACAATCCGACATCCTAATTTCTTAGCCAAGTGAACATCCAAGAAATTATGAGTGCTTCCACTGTCAATTAAGATATGTAGAGGTCTCTTTTTGAATAGACCAGTGACCCTCATAGTTCTAAAGTTAGTAACTCCAGTCAAGGCAGTAACTGAAATTAAAGGTTCCTCTATATCTGTCGAGGTTGGAGTTTCTTCATCAGAATCAGTGACCTCATCCAACTCCAAGACATGAATCTGTAATTTCTTGTGAGTCAGGCTATGAGCCGGAGTGAATGGCTCATCACAAAAGTAGCAGAGACCTTTAGCTCGCCTTTCATTCATATAGGCAGGGGTTAAACTTCTAGAAGCTTGTAATTTTGGTCGATTGAGTTCCAGGTTTTTGGGAGGATTAGGTAATAATGGTGGTGTATTTTGTTTGGGAAATAGTTTAGGTTGGTAATGAGTGTTGTTTGCAGATTCATACATCTTGGCCAACGAAAAAGCTTTCATCACAGAGGTGGGTTGGAACATCCTTACCATCATCTGTACATCCTGCTTCAATCCACCCAAAAAACAACTCAATTGATTGGCTTCAGAGAGCTCCACTTGAGAAACTAACCGATCAAAAGCTTCATGATAATCCTGAACAGAATTCTTTTGCCTTAATCTCATCAATTCAGCCATAGGATCTTCGCATACTTCACCAAAATGAGCAATCAAGATCTTTGTGTACTCATCCCAAGATGGAAGATTCGGTAAACCTACGTTCTTGACATAGGCACTGTGCCACTGCAGAGCCTTGCCTTCGAAATGAACCACTGCCAACCGAACCTTGTAATCCTCCGGTGTACCATCGACGAAAAAGAAGGTTTCACATTGGATTAACCATTGCTTCACACCATCACCATTGAAGCGAGGAAAATCCAGCCAAGCCAACCGTGTATGACAAGAGTAAGGGCGAGATTGATTACCATTACTAGAAAAAGCGTGGGTGTCACGGTTACAGAACATCTCTTCAAGACTGTGCTTCAATGAAGCCCCAATATCCATGAATCGGGCCTCCAATGACGTTCTCATATCCAAAAAACGCGTCTCCATGGAAGCCTTGAAGCTTTCAAAATCTTCACGGACAGAGCGGGTGTTATCGGCCATGGCAAAAACGTGGTTGGAAGGTTACCGTCTGATACCAATTGATAGGGTTCTTCTAGGTAGGATTAATGAACCTCGAAAAAGAACCAAGAGAAGAAGTAGGGAATCCAGAGAAAGAATGGAATCCGAACAGCAGTAGTTTTATTGAATTAATGGAGTTCCAGAATTACAATTGAAAAAATGAATGCCAGCTATTCTTTACAATCTGCTATATATAGCAGTAAATCTAACAAACTAATTACTAACTGAAATAACAACTTCCTGTATCACTTTGATATAATGAAATTAGGGTCGGGTAAAATTATAAATGTAACACTTGATTTAGTCTTGGGATATAAAAAGGGACTCTCTTTTTTTTTTTTAAATTATGAATGTCATATTATGATTATTTGGAAGGGCAACATCACTTGCTCCCATTCAACATTCCGCATTTTAGCCCTTCATGATACAATTACAGTGGTGTGTTTGAGTTGATTGGGTGTAACGTAATAACCCCCATTCCCTCCTTTAAGTCTAGATCCATGGATTTTTTAATTTTTTTTTCTGACGGGGCATAGATCCTTTTAGATCTTATTACCGCACAATGGATTACAACAATGAAAACTTGCTGAGGTATTTATGTAAAGTTGTAAGGTAAAGCATATACAAAGCAAAATTAAATTACTTAAACCATGAATTTCCAAGAAAAGAGGAAAAAGAATACAAGGAAGCTGCTTCTGGTGATAAACTATGATACCATTACCAAATCAACAGAATGGGCAAAGCTATAACTTCATGAGACCGGTTGAAGTACTGTACACTAGCAGCATGTTGAAGGACGGATATGCTGGCTATAACTTCCCTGACCTCTGCCAGAAATGACACTTCCAAGATTTGAACAGCTTGACAGAGTTCCAAATGTTCACCAGTGAAGTGTGATAACTCTTCCATGCAAAAGACAGAAACTGCATCCCAACAGCCAAGCTGAGTGCGCTAGGGATACAGAGAGCTGTTCACCCTTTTGAATAAATCGTTGAACATCGAAAAAGTTTTTCGTAAACGTATCCTAGCTCAGTCTTTTACAACCTCCTTCAGAAAAAGAATATCATCACGTGGATGTGCTTCTTCCACCTTAACTAATACTTCATCACCTATCTGTGTTCCGACAGAGACCCAAGCAGAAGTTTGAAATCCAACCTGCAAATGAGAATCACATTATGAATTCAAAAACATCAATATTATATCTTGTAACCGCATTTTACACGGGGTAAAACACCAGTAAAAGCAATACTCGGAGGTTATTTAGACAGCCATATAAATCAAGAAACTGACAAGATGAGAAATATCATAGTACCACTTTTAATATCTGAACTATTTGGATAATGAGCCATCTATCCGTCTTAATAGCCATTTTTCCAAGAGAAATTCTTTTATCAAGCTACAGAAATTACCTCCCAAACAAAACAATTGATAGAAACTGTATCAGAATGAGTGAAAAGAGTATATTATTGAACCCTAATCCTGATCTTGCCACAGTGGGCTGCAAAACCAACAGGAAGAATGACAAGATTACAAGAATGTATTGTTATTTGAGAGATCCAGGCCTCTCCATCCCTATTACACTTCTGAATTCTTGTGTCTCCTCTCTAGTTTCCCTCCCCCTCTTTTATACTAATTAATAACAGATTCTGTTCCTTAAGGTCTTCAACCCTAATCCTCTTCCTCCAACTATAAACTCTAGTTATTGAAGGAGGTCAATCAATTCTCCTCCCAAAAGGGGCCACCTTGTCCCCAAGGTAAAGGTTACTACCCCTAAACCACTACTGGTCCAAAATAACTTTCACTTCCTCTTAAACGTCAACATGTGACTTCCTCCATTCTCCTCTAGTGCTCTTGTTCAGTAATATTTTCCTCCAAGTTCAAAGAAAAGTTTTATTGAACTGCAATAAGACTATTTATTCTCTATGGTAATGAATATTGGGCTTTAAAGGGACTACACAAGAAAAAAAGTGACTAACAAAATGAAAATCTTAAGATATATGTATGGTCACACACACACACACAAAAAAAAAAAAAAAAAAGATAAGAAATGATTATATACAAGGGAAGATTGAGATAACATCTATTGAGCAAAAGATGACAGAAAATTGGATAACTTGTTTGAACATGTGCAAAGGTAACTAAAAAGCTCTAGTGAGGAGGAGAGTTGATTGTATGGTTTGAAGTCTTGTGTGGTACAATAGAAGAAAACCAAAATGAATCTTTGTGGAAATCATCCAAAAAGGAATCTCATGATAAATAATATCTTTGAAATTTGACTGTTTGATAAGTATATATTTTAAAATGTTTTTATGACATATTATGTGCTTGACCCTTATTTGATGAGGATTATATACTAATTTATTATTTGTTACTGTTTAGCATAAAGAGGTTATCAGTGTATTATTTTTTTGGTTGCAATTGAAGAAAATTTGATAGAAAATAGGGACACATTCAACAGGAAGCACAACTTTGCTTCACATCCAGCTTGAGAGTGTTTCACAATCATGCACAGCAGTACTGGAAGTTATGCACGGCCATGCTAATGAATTTGCAACTGAATTCGAATTTTAAATTTTAGATTTGGAGTTTGAAAATGGATATAAAATTTTGAGATTTGCATATCAGATATCTCTCTATAGATAAAATATATCTTTTTGGAGGTCAACTCATGATCTTTTCTCTGATTTTACACACTATTTAAAGAGTTTTCACACACTTAAAGAAGAGAACTTTTTAACCTGAACAACCTTTTTCTCTCATAGAACTTTGTCACTTGGAACTCTTCCCTAGACGACTTTTGACAACTCTTGGAGCCATTTGGGAGTGGAGATCATTGGTGAAGATGTAGGATACTTTTCCGGAGTCTGAGTAAGTGATTGAGAGTTTTTTGGAAGCAAGAACTCTTCTCATTTTTTTTCCCTTGGATTCTTTTAATTTGCATTACTTTCGAATGACTATGGGTTTATTTGTGTTTTTCATATATTTTTGCCTTGCATGATCATTGAGGGTAATAGTTTAGAGAAAAGATTGCTAACATTGCATAATAATTAGGTGTTAGTAATATTAGTATGACTAATTAGGGATAATAGGAAACTAAGATTGTAATTAAACTAAAAGTAATCATAAAGAGGTGTAAAGGAGAAACTACAAGATGTAGGTTAATTTTGAATAGTTTTCTTATTAAAAGTTGCACTATTTTCTCTTTACCTTCTGGATTTCTTTCTATTACTTTCCATTATTTCTATTACGCATTATTTAAGTTCAAACAATTAAATCACAATAGTTTTTATAATTGGAAACAATATTTGTGGGACAATATTTCAGGAACTCAATTTGAAAACCTATTTTATTACTATTCGACCAGTACACTTGCCTAGGAACACTTTTGACTAAGTTCAGTGCCATCATATGATCCGTGTAACCACCTCATTTCACATGATAAGACTTTATTGTATTTTTGGGTGTGAAACAGAGTATCAATGCCTCTACTACTGTACTATGATCCCATGGTTTCCATTAAGGACTGCAATATGGTGAATGGTAAACAATGATGACCATCATTGTCCTTCATTGCTTTTTGTTCGGGCTAACTCATTAGGCTATCGTTTGGAAAGTTTATAGACAGTTTATTGAAATAGCTTATAACTTCTATAAGCTCTTCTTAGCTTATTTCAATAAGCCTTTTAATATAGCTCATCAAAATAAGTTGTTTAAAGCTTAGCCCTTAAGTTCTATGGATAATTATATGGCATAAGTTATCATATAAAAAGAGTTTAGTGAATAAATACTTAATTAAACTATATATCTAAATAGGTAAATCAAAGAAAAGTGCTGAGCATATTCCATTTGCTCTGCTCATCTATAAAATTCATTCCATTGGATGTGGTCCATTAGCTCAGAAAATTGACCAACTTAGTGTAATCCCAGTCTTGCCTTTGCCTCCAACCCTCTTAAAATTAGACTAAACTTAACCCCAAAGACTAGCTTATGAAATGAGGATTGTCCAACATTTTTCAAGCTTTACTTTGGCCATATCTGTAATCAATGAGCAATCTCAAAACCCACCAGCAACATATTTTACATTGGAGTTGGGGAACAACATCGATTTGAATCATCTTCTTTGACTCTAGCATAATATTAGCAACATACAAGCACAGAGGTCTGGTGGTTTTGGTAGTGGGAGCTTGGACAGCATATGTAAGAACACGAGCTCCACCGTAATTTCTGTGGCAGAATCCAAGTCAGGCAGCTTGGGTGGTGGTAGTGGGTCAACCAAATTGGGAAAGAACCAAATCTCAAAGGCTAACACATGCTCTTTGTTGCTGTGCTTCCCCCATGTGCTACAGATAGAGCAAACTTTCCTCTTTGGTTCTGCTTCGCTGAAGTTTGCTTTTCTTCTTGTTTTCCACCTTCAAATGCTCATCCTGGCTTCTATTTTCAAGATGATTCAAAATGTTGAGTGGTGGTTGTTTTCTTACATTTCCACCCCCAATTTCTCCCTTGTCATATTTCTTTCTTTCTCTGGGTCTTTCTTCTCTGCTTGCTGCTTTTGTTGGGTTTCCCCTCTTGGGTTGCTTCCTTTTCCAAGGTTCCTAATCCCCACAGTTCATGTTTCTTTGGTGCATCTGTTTGACTTTCTTGCTTCTGATTCTTTTCTTTCATCTTGAGATGATACTAGTTCTAATTCCAACTCATTTTCTGTTTCCACATCATGAACCCATATTGGATACCTGGATCTTGTTTTGGTTGGAACTGCTTGAACAAAGCCTTTGTGAAGTCCGAGCATGTCACATTTGGATTATTCCCTTTCCACACAAACCACCAATTGAAAGCATTAGCTTGCATAGCCTTCCCAACTCTTTGTAAAGAACTCTTCCTCAAGTATTATTTACTTTTGTTGCCTCAATGCTGCTCCACATTAAATAGCCACCAATAGGCATCCTCTCATTCAAATTCTGGAATCATCATCAAGATTCAATATCCAGTTGATTGAAACTGGATCAGATTATGAATGATAGAGTGTATTATTAGAAAGAATGTTGATTCCCAAGATGTTCAAGATATCCAGGCCCCTCTGAAGTCCCTATTACAAGTTTGAACACACAGCGTCTCCTCTGTGGTTTCCCTCCCTTATCTATACTAATTAATAACAGATTCTTTTATTGTTACTGGTAACCCCCCTCCCCTTCCCCCATTTATTGTAATGAATAACAACTTGTCTTATTCAATTACAATGTATCAAGACCCTTAAGGTCTGTTACCCTACCCTAATCCTATTCCTCTTATTATACTATAGACTCTAGTTAATAAAGGCACAACAGCCAATTTAATATTCAGTTATTCACTGAATAAAAATATCAGGGTCCATCCAAGGGCAGTGATTTAAAAGTAGTACAATTAGATCACTAAAAGTGGTCACCTATAATCATTATGTTGTATTCCAGCATATCCAGAAAAAGGTAACAAAGGAAATTAATCCATCATTCATCCCAGATTAATAACATGATTGAGGTCATATTTAGCCACTGATATCATTTAAGTAATGTAAAACCATCCCTAACTAATTACAGATGGAGCTATTTTTGGGCAGCTACCCAATCTTTTATGTGCTTGCATTTCTAACTGGTACAATCAACTGATGGCATGGACTGCCAAACACATTATACAATAGGAACCATCAGCTACTTACCTCAACCAATAATAGGGCTGCAATTCGATCTTTCAAAAATCTAAGGATCATTGCACGATATGTTTTCTCTTTTGGTTGTCTTCGTAAATATTCTAATATCCAGTATCGAAGACTACTGCTGCAGAGCTTCCTCGCTGCTCTAACTCTCTCGTTTACAACTGCTGCAATCCCTTCAAGCTTACCAGCTGAAAAAGGTGGAGGCTCACCTTTAAGAAATGCCTTTACCTAAAGAAAATAAACATTTCCAGACTGTGAAGACAGACATGGGAAAAAGTCCTAGAAGAAATTAATAAGATGTATAGCATATGAATTACCCTTTTACAGAAACACTTTTACAAAGGCAGCCATGAGAAAGGTAATGAAATATTTATTTCAGTAACATGTTGCAAATAATTCAATCATACTGTAAAACACGTGATGGTATGATGACCAATATATTATTAATCATTCATAAGACTAAAGCACGAATTGATAAAATAAAGTCTTCTACGTTGTATTCTTTGCATGAATAGACCCAATTAATACTTTGGTAATTGCTAAATAGATAATTCAATAAAGAAAAATAGATAAGATAAATGCTGTACACGCTATTATTACGATGTGGAGTGGAGGCACTCTCAGAAAGAGTAGAAAGGTAGAGAGCAAAGAAATAAAATAAAATATATGCAAGGTAAACAAATTCTCCAAAAAGGAGAGAAGGAGTACATAAGAAAACAAAAACAAAGATAACAAGAAACACATCAAAGTTGTTCATTCAGTTCTGAAATAACAAAAATGTATACTTCCTTGAAACAGCCATGAACAAAACACCAAAGAGAAGCATAAATGTCGTCTCAAAACACATCTAGATGTATTTAGGTATCCTTAAATATGTGGGCATTTATCTCCAACCAAAAACATATCAGATCTCTCAGAAAATTTGCATGCTGACAAAAAATTTAGCTTCTTTGGTTTCACCTACAGTATTTTATTATACCAAAAAGGGCAGCAGATGTAATGGTTAGTCATTACCCTTAGGGTATGTTTGGGAAGGGAAGGGAGGAAAGAACATATTTCTTAATCTTAAATTAAAATAATTATATATCACTTAAAGATGATAAAAACATGATTAATATATTAAATTTATGTAATATATAATTTTTATATTTTATTTTGAACAAATATTAACTTTAAATATATTTATTTAAAATATAAAATTTGTCTTTCCCTTCCCTCCTTTCCAAAACCATCCTTCCCAAACAACTCCTTAAAGAAATTTTATAACCATTTATGCATAGCACCTATAATGGAAAAGATGATGGAAAATTGTCTAAGCTAGTTTGGTCATGAGTAAAGAAGACCTTTAGAGGTGCCAATAAAGATAGTGAATTACATGACTCTTAGTCAGGTAAAGAAGAGTCAAGAGAAACCCAAAAGAACCTTAGACGAAATTATTAAAAGAGACCTTTTAATTAACTAAAACTTTTGAAAATTTAATTTTTGACCGAACTCAATGGCATCCATGTGATCCATGTGGCTGACTTCACCTAGTGAGATAAGGCTTGATTATTGTTGTTTGTTGTTATGCATAGCAACCTTCTTTTGTAAATTGTATATCTATATTCCTCCAAATTCATATAGAAAATTCAATCATCCCAGAGTTGCACAGTTTGCATCCTGTCCCTCATGAAGGGAACGTGTACATTTTCATTTCTTTTCACTTTCCTGATTCTTGATGATTTTATAAATCAAAATTTCATTGCAGACATCTAGAAGCATCAAAGTCTGCAATCTACCATGGCTGCAAATTATATAAAATGAAAGCAAAATACCTGATAATGAGCAAGAAGATCTAAATATCTACGAATTGGAGATGTAAACTGAACATAACCAGGAATTCCCAAAACCCCATGGCGGGCTGGTTTCCTGAAATCAATTTCAGCAGCACGCATTACTTTGACCAGTGCGAAGCTCCTAACAGGTCCTTCTGGAAGATGAGAAAATTCAGAAACATTTATATCTGATTGGGGTTGTCCCCTGTATGGTAAAGGAATGCCATTCTGGGATCCAAATGTGGCAATAGCTTCTCCACAGAGTATCATCATCTCAGAGACTAATCGCATTGCAGGGTCTGCCTGATTTTCCACATAAAGGTTTAATGATGGCTCTGGATCCTCTGGGTTAGACACTTTAATGCGAGTATCTAATGTTGCAGTCTCAACTGCACCCTGATCAAAGGCAGGGAAAGAAAATGTTTTTATGTATCAGAGTCTAATAATTCTCAACAACTTATATAATTCCACGTGCCTTTATAAATTTTCATGCACATTTTTCAATAACCAAACCAAATTATACACTGAATCATTCAACAAACCTACTATTGAATAGCGTCCCATAGTATCAGAATATTTCTATAAAATTTTATTTTAAAGAAATATCAGCCTCAGAAAAATTAAATACTCTCCCAAAAGAGCTTTTCTAAGCAAAGAAAATGAACAGTAAAAAAATGATATCCATCAAATCAGGCTAAAATTTTACAATATTTGTGGTTGATTTGCTAAGTAACAAAATATATAAAGTATTAATGCAATTTTTCATCACTTATCAGCCACTGATGAAATTCTAAGTTTGTTGGACCTAATCTCCTGGACAAATCTATAAATATTTTTTTGGACGATGTAAGTATTAAGTTTCATGTGATGGACAAAGATCCTAGACAAAATATAAATATTGTTAAACAAATAACGGCAGTTTTGAAACCTCAGTGATAATTTAAGAGGAAAATCTCCTCAAATGTGACCTAAGCTAAGAATCAACTCCTTTTATCAAAAGAAAGTGTAACATCCCCCTTTTACCTTATACGTACATGCTTTTATGATTTCCAGAAAATTATTATTGTTGCTATTAATTGCAGTGCTCTTAAAAATATTTGTTTTTAGCTGTAAGAAATTTAGCATACATTATTAAGTAGTTTATTCCTGAAAATTATTATTTTATTTTATTCAGATAAATAGTATGTCTTAGTTGTTAATTATTTCTGTTACTGACTCCTAAAATTATATCTACGAGAATTATCTTATTAGTGAAATTTTATTTCCATTCATGTTTTCAAGCAATCCACTCCCTCTCTTCCTTGGCCAATGCCTGCTCCTTACATTGAAATTAATGTTATTTTAATTATTTGAGATGTTTTCCCTCCTCTTCCTCTATATAAGGATGTGTGCGGGGCCTCATAACTTTCAAATTGGTCTCCTACATCACAGGCCATGATCGATAAAATTTGTACACTTCAAAGCAATGATACTTGGGATCTTGTTCCTCTTTCTTCAAGGAAGTCTATTGTTAGATACATATGGATTTACACCTTAATGGCCATATTAATCGTCTTAAGACTCGTCTATTGGCCAAAGGCTACACTCAAATCTTTGGTTTAAATTATGGTGATACATTCTCTCTGATGGTTAAAATGGCCTCTGTTTGCCTATTTTTGTCCATGGCTACAATCTTCACTAACCCCTAAATTTGCTTGATATCAAGAATATCTTTTTCCATGATGATCTCTTGGAAGAAGTATATATGGAACAACCTTCTAGATCTAGACTTTTGTTGCATAGGGAGAGTCTTCCAAATTAGTTTGTCATCTAAAAAAATCCTTATATGGACTTGAACAATCTTCTAGCACATGATTTGGTCGCTTCAATACTATACTCTAAGAATTTGAAAAAACTCAAAGTAAAGTTGATCACTCAGTTTTCTATCATCATTATGCCTTGGATGCATTTATTTTAGTGTTTATGTTGCCAAAAGTTATTACTGTTAGCAGTCACCCTGGTATTACATAGATAAAACAACATTTATGTCAACATTTTCAGACAAAAGATCTTGACAAACTTTGATACTTCTTGAGAATAGAAGTGGCACAAAAAGACGTATGCATTGAATATTTTAGAGGAAGCTGGATTGATGGGTGTCAAACCTATAAACACTCCTATGGATCCTAATTCCACACTTCTGTCAAGTCAAAGAGAGCCTTTTTGATCCAAATAAGTATAGGAGGCTATTGAGAAGCTAAACTATCTTAATGTCACTCGTCCAAATATTGTGGATTACTCGTGCATATTGAGCACACTCTCCTATCGATAGGAGATCCACTTTTGGCTATTGCGTTCTTATTAGCGATAATTAGATTTTATAGAAGCGTAAGAAACAAAGTGTGTTCATTCAAATGCAGATGCAGAATATCTAACCATGGCCTTAGCTACATGTGAACTTATTTAGTTGAAACAATTGCTCAAGAACTAAGATTTGGAGAGATTATGAAAATGACACTCATTTTCAATAATCAAGAAGCCTTGCATATTGCCTCAAATCCAATGCTCCATGAAAGGACAAAGCATATTAAGTAGATTATCACTTCATTAGGGAGAAAATCCTAATCAAAAACATCACTACTAACTTTGTCAATTCGAATGATCAACTAAAAGATGTCTTCCCAAATTATTGAGAGGTTTTCATATTAGTTATTTGTGTGACAAATTTGTAGCATATGACCTATATGCTTGCGCTTGAGGGGTAGTGTTAAATATATGTAATTATAGTAATAAAGTAAGTTTATCTTTGCAATTATGTTAATTATGTATTTGAATATTTGATAAATTTTTTGTAATTATTGTTATTATCAATATAAATATATGCTCCATTATATAGCTGAAACACACGGATTCATCCACGTGTTCTCTCACTTTTCTCTCATTCAACAGTAAGTATGAATGTATATTTTGGGTATCTACTTAATTGATTGATTTACTTGAAGTTTTTTTTCAAAAAAATGATAATTTGTTGCTACAAAGTTGTTTGAGCAAATTTTTCAGCTTGGAGATGTATATATATATATATATGATGATGATGATGATGATATGTGTTTAAATGTGACTCTGATGTTATGGCCAATCAAATGTTAACATGGATGAGTTCCAAATATTGATGACTTGAGATATCAAAAGACAGATAGATATACATCTGCACATGCGTGTGTGTGTGTGTGTGTGAAATTACTAACAAGTTAGAACAACCTTTGAAGCCCTAGATAGAAATTTAAATGAACGGTTTGAAAATATAAAATTTAGCTATAAATTAAATTATTAATTAAAAAAATTATTTTGTAATTAAAAATCTATATTTGGGATTTGGATACTAATCAAGATTGAATTAGGAATTATATAAAATCAAATGAGTTTTTATGTTAAGTTACCAGAGTATGGACAATTTTGAGGTGATTAGCCAAAGGGCCTATATGAAGGAAATTTGAACTAACAAGTGTGCTTATGATAGATGTGTATGTATGTCTCCAAGGAATGGCTCACAAAGAAGTGAGAATCAATGTTATTCAGCTGCATCTTGTAAAGATGATTGGGATGATGCATAGATTGTATATACGTAGACGTCATAATGGTTTAGAAGGGAAATCTAGGGAGGGCCTGGTGTGAAAGCCAATCCACACCTCTAGGATTAATACCTTTTGGGGCGTAGGGGATATGCTATGTTTGAGACCCTCAATGGCTGGGATGGCTACCCTCGTTGAGACTTCTCTTTGCAGACTTAAGTGGGAAACTAGTTCTACATGCATTGCATCTCATTATGGAAGTGACCAACTATGATATTTATCAAATTTATGTACACGGTCATAAATATTGATCATGGCTATGAATGTATGTCATGAATGCATAATTATATATGTGGTTTTCTGCTGCTGAGGATAGGTAATTCTTCAGATGAGTTATTTTGTAATGTCTTTGTTAGATACCTAAAACAGAATAACACTGAATAGGACTTTTATTAACGCTTTCTAAAGAATACAACAAGAACAGCTGAAATACAAAGGCAATCTCAGGATAATTCGAGAGTCCTGTCTCTCCCTCCCTGGTAATGAATTTCTTATTCTTCCCTTTCTCACTAAACACTCTCACCCACCCTTTATAGGGTTCCAGATTACAATAGGCTGATATAGTTATATTTGTTTACAGTTATAAATAACTTCTATTTCCGGTTTTAGCTTTCCTTTGATAGACCTTCTTTATTATGGGGCGTGGTTTATGCCTATCGATACCCGGCGCCAAAAGTTTCACCTTGTCCTCAAGGTCAAAGGACGGAAAAGCTTCTTGTACCCTTGCAGCTGATTCCCAGCTATTTTCGCATAAAGGCAGGTCTTGCCACTGTATCAAGACTTCCACCTCGCCCCCTATCGTTTCACACACTTCCAATACGTTTTGTGGACAAACTAGCAGCTCGTGGTCTTCTGTCAACATTTTTGGTAGAGGTTGAGTTTGTACTGGTGGGCCCACTCTTTTCTTCAGTAATAATACGTGGAAAACTGGATGAATTTTGCTGTCTGGAGGTAATTCCAACTTGTAAGCCACCTGCCCTATTTTAGCTATAACCTTGAAGGGGCCATAGAAGCGAGGACTCAGTTTTTCATTTAGTCTCTTAGTTGTAGATTTTCTTTTGTAGGGTTGGATCTTCAAAAACACCCAGTCCCCTTCTTGGAACTCTTCATCTCTTCTATGCTTATTAGCATGTATGCGCATGGCATCTTGGGCTTTAAGGAGGTTGTTTCTTAGTTCGTCCAGCAACTCATCACGGTTCTGCACCAACTGGTTGACCTCCTCCATTCAGGATGGAGTCACAGACCCCTTGAGAAGGGATGGGGGGTCAATTCCATATAGGCCCCGAAATGGGGTCATTTTGCTAGAGGCATTGTAATTAGTGTTGAACCAGTATTCTGCCCAAGCTAAGCACGACGTCCAGTTTTTGGGCCTTGTCCCGGTTACACATCGTAGGTACACCTCCACACTCCTATTTACTACCTCAGTTTGGCCATCCGATTGTGGGTGGTAAGCTGAACTGAATTTCAACTCTGTGCCAACTGCTTTGAACAAACTTTTCCAAAAATTGCTCATAAACAGTGAATCTCTATCCGAAACAATAGAGCTAGGGAAGCCATGTAGTCTCACTATTTCTTGCACAAAGATTGCTGCCACTTCACCTGCTGTATAAGGATGGCCCAATGGTAGAAAATGAGCGTACTTCGTTAGTCTATCTACCACAACAAGGATAGTATCTTTTCCTTTAGACTTTGGTAATCCTCCAACGAAGTCCATAGAAATGTCCCTCCATACTGCTGTAGGGATGGGTAAGGGCTGCAGTAACCCTGTTGGAGTCAGAGTGGAGTATTTGTTTCTCTGGCATACATCACATGCTGCCACAAATTCCTTGATGTCTTTCTTCATGCCTTCCCAATAAACTATATTTGCAATTCTCTTGAAGGTTCTGAAGTATCCTGAATGTCCCCCTATTAAAGAGGAATGAAATTCCTTTAGAATGATGGGAATTTTAGCAGAAGCTTTAGGGAGTACTAAACTGTTTTTATAGAACAACTTGTGGTCTCTCAAGGTGTATCCAGGATGAGAAGTATTGTTCAGCACTAGATCCTGTATAATGGTTTTCAGTTTGGCATCTTGTTGTATTTCCTCTTGCCACTCTTCCCAATCTGCCATTTGTAGGACAGATAAGGAGTAATATGAGCTCCTGCGGGACAGAGCATCTGCAGCCGTGTTCTCTCTCCCTGGCTTATACTGAACTTCGAAGTCATACCCAAACAGCTTTGAAATCCATCTGAATTGTTCTTCTGCCCATAGCCTCTGATCCGTAAGGAATTTTAAGCTTTTTTGATCCGTTCGTATGATGAAGTGAGTTCCTAGCAAATAGTGCCTCCATTTCTGAACAGCTTTAACCACTGCCATCAACTCTCTTTCATAGACTGACTTCCTTTGATTTCTGTCAAATAAGGTAGTGCTCCAGAAGGCTAGAGGCTTTCCCTCTTGGAGCAAAACAGCCCCTAATCCTATCCCTGACGCATCAATTTCTAGGATGAAGGTTTTGGAAAAATCTGGGACACTCAGGGCTGGGAGTATGGTCATGGCCTGCTTTAGTTTATCAAAAGCAGCTTGGGCTTCTTTACTCCACATAAAGCTGTCCTTCTTTAAGAGTTGAGTGAGGGGTTTTGCGATCATACCATACTGTTGCACAAATCTCCGATAGTACCCCGTTAAACCCAAGAATCCTTTGAGGCCTTTCACGTTTTTTGATTGGGGCCATAGCCACATAGCTTCCACCTTTTTTGGGTCAGCTGCTACAGTGCCTGCCGATATAATGTGACCCAGGTATTCTAGCGTGGTTTGGCCAAAGGTGCATTTCCTTTGATTGACCTTCAGTTCATGCTTTAGCAGTAAATTTAATACCTCGGTTAAGTGCTGAGTGTGATCCTCTTTGTTTCTGCTGTAGATAAGGATATCATCAAAAAATACTAGCACACAGGTTCGTAACAGAGGTCTGAGGACTTCATTCATCAAGGATTGGAAGATTGAGGGTGCATTAGTAAGCCCGAAGGGCATTACCACAAATTCATAGTGACCTTCGTGGGTTTTGAAAGCTGTCTTCTCTAAATCCTCGCTTTTCATTCTAATTTGATGGTATCTGGACCTTAGGTCCAGTTTTGAAAAAATTGTAGCATTCCCCAATTCGTCAATGATGGGTATAGGAAATTTGTTAGGTATGGTTACCTTATTAAGCGCTCTATAGTCCACACAAAATCGCCAACTTCCATCCTTTTTCTTTACCAAAATCACAGGGCTAGCGTATGGGCTTAAGCTATATCTCACAATTCCTGCTTCCAGCATTTCCTTCACCATTTTTTCAATTTTCGATTTTTGATAATGAGGGTACCTATATGGGCGGATATTAGGAATAACAGCTCCCTCTTGTAGGTGTATGGCATGATCATGCTTCCTTGCTGGTGGTAATGTTGTTGGTGCCTCAAATAGCTCCTGATATTGATGTAGAACAGTCATTAACTCCGTGGGTATCTCTTCTGCAGCTTCCTTCTCTGTCTGCCTCATTCTACAATCTAGTAGTAGCCATTCCCCTCCTTGTTGTATGGCCTTGAGTATTGTGTTTATTGAGGTTCTGCCTTTGATTAATTCTGGTTCACCTTTCAATGTGACCATCTGCCCTTCTATATTCATTTTCAGGGTCATTTGCTCAAAATTTGCTCTGATTTCTCCCAGTCCAGCAAGCCATTCGAGACCCAGCACCATGTCTACCCCGCCTAAACCAAACAAGTAGAAGTCTTGCCTTATGGGTATCCCTTGTATCATCACGGAAACACCAACACATTTCCCTTTGCAACGCACCTTATGTCCATCCCCAACCTCCACTATGTAAGAGGGAGTATCTTTAATGGGTAATTGAATTTTGTGTACCAATTCGTGGGAAATGAAGTTGTGTGTAGCGCCACAATCAATTAACACTATCACCTTTCCCTGGCCCAACTCCCCCCCATACCTTGAGGGATTTTTTGGATGTGAATCCCCCAATACTTTTGAGGGATAATTGCCTGAATGATGCTCCCTTCTCTTCCTCTTCCGGGCTGTCCTCATCACTTCCCTCCATTTCTTCTATGAGCATCACCCTTAACTGTTTGTTTTTACACACATGGTTGGGTCCATATTTTTCATCACATCTAAAGCACTCTCCTTTTCTTATTTTCTCCTGCATTTCCGCATTGGACAGCCTCTTAAAATCCCCTGTTCTTCCTCTAAACCCAGACCCACTCATGTTGCTGCTTGTTGATGAGGCTGTGGACGCCCCTTCTATTGCCCTTCCTCCTGGTTTTTGCTTCTGTCCTGTGTCTACAGTCACTGTACGTGAAAAAGAGGGGGCTCTATATTGGTTCCCTTGCCTTTCAGACCTCCTTCTTGACTATAGCAGCATTCTTTTGGTCTATCATCAGGGTCTTTTTCATCCTAGCTGACAGGTTAGCAGGCTCATACAGTTTCACCTCTGCTCCAATTTCCTCTTTTAACCCATTCACAAACATGTCCATAAAATGTTCTTCTCCTACTCCGCCTAACATGCCTGCCAATTTCTCAAATTGCGAGACAAACTCTTCCACGGTATCCTCTTGTTTCAGTGCTAGCAGAGAAGCGAAAGGACTATGAAACATGGCTGGCTGGAACCTGTCAATAATGGCTTCCTTAAATTGTTCCCAGTGCTGGTGTGGGTGGCAAGATTCCCACCATTGGAACCAGCTTAGAGCCTTTCCTTCCAGGGCCACCATCACAGCTTGCAGTTTCTCCTTTCATCAGCCCCTTGCAACCTGAAGTATCTTTCAAGTTTGTTCACCCATCCAAACACATCATCTTCCCCTTCATACACTGGAATCTTCATCTTCCTCCACCTTTCATTGCTTCCTGTGTTAGAATGTGTTTCCTCTTCCACTGGTGGGGCCCCTCCGCCTGATGGTCGCTCCCCTCTGCTGTCTGCAGTGTGGTCCAAGCGATGGATCATTGATTCCACCAAATCTTCTAGCCTCTGAAACCGTTCTTCCTCACGAGCACGGTCCTCCTCGCACTCACGGCTCCAAGACTCCATGTGTTGTTCCAATTTTTTGATTCTTGATTCCATTCTTGTTTTGACTCTAGGCATTAACGGTCTTGATACCACAGCTCCTGGATGGAGCTCTGATACCAATTTGTTAGATACCCAAAACAGAATAACACTGAATAGGACTTTTATTAACGCTTTCTAAAGAATACAACAAGAACAGCTGAAATACAAAGGCAATCTTAGGATAATTCGAGAGTCCTGTCTCTCCCTCCCTCGTAATGAATTTCTTATTCTTCCCTTTCTCACTAAACACTCTCACCCACCCTTTATAGGGTTCCAGATTACAATAGGCTGACATGGTTATATCTATTTACAGTTATAACTAACTTCTATTTCCGGTTTTAGCTTTCCTTTGATAGACCTTCTTTATTATGGGGCGTGGTTTATGCCTATCAGTCTTTCGGATGGTTGTATGATTAATTTGTTTGGTGCAGCTCTAATGAGTTTATGTTTGCTTATCTTTGGATTATGTTTCTCTGTGCAATTGATAGGGTCAAGTTTCATTTAGTTTATAATAATCATTTGACTTTCTGTTTTCATTACAATTATGTTAAAATATATTTAGGCTTGTTTTCGGTTTGTAAGTTATTCCCTTCCCCGTGAAGACTTTAACTTTACTATATTATGTTAGCAGGTCTGGTTTAAATCTTTATTGATCAAACGGTCATATTTGATGAGTTATATTCCTTTTCTCAAACTATTCAGTTAAGAGACTTATACAAGATATTGGCTAAGTTATGAAAGGAATTTCTTAAATCTTGAAACTACAAAACAATCGATTCCCATATTAGGGAAATTGAAACTTCAAATTGTTTTTCTCAATAAAAATATTTCAAGGAAATCACTCTTTGTCATAAAAAGTTAACTGGCAGAATGTGTGGAGTACATGATAAGGTGAATAGGAATTTGGTCCTGACAGGAAGAAAGATAAAACCCCAAATTACCTGGAAACACAATTTTACAGGCAGAGTGAAACTAACAAATTTAAATGTACCTGCTGACGACGCCAATTGGAACGAAGGTATGCAGCCTCAGACAAAATTCTGAGTTGACCCTCCTCTTCAAGGTTCAAATGGAGTAGCTCAGATGCACTCTCATAAGTCAGCATGTATGTTGGTTTAATCAATGAGTTAAACACTGAACATTCTGCAATACTGTTACACCCACATAGGACATCAATAACAAAAGCTCATCTTAGTTATTATTATGACAATTATTTTGGCAAGAGGAATTCATTGACAGAAAGAATAAAGCACGGGAGGAAGACAAAGAATCACCCTGGAGGGAAAGGAAGGGAAAAAAGAGAAAACATTACCTCAAACCATCTTTCCACCCCTTAATCTTAACAATAACCACCCCCCCCCCCCAAGATTAAAAGAAAAAAAAGAAAAAGAACAAAGCAGAAATCATATACCTATATATGTTAATATATTTTACTGAAAAGGAAGTTAAGGATCCATGACATGAGCATTAAGTTAAGAAAACACAAAGACTTATTCTTGTAGCTGAGAAAATTTGAATGGTTTTATAAGTTTAATACAAAAAACTTGAATGCTCTTACATGTACATTTTACCTAATAGACTAATACAAAAATTCAACTCTGTTATGAAACATAGGAGTGGTGAAGATCAAATTCAATTTAAATATGAGTTGGCAATCACAGCACATGCACATAAATCAAAAGGAAAACCAGAAAAGGTTTCACTAGTCATTCATTTGATTTCAAACCTATGAAGCACGAACATATCACTTGTTTAAAGTGTCGCGGTGTCAGACACTTCTTACATTAACACTTCTCAGATACTTGTTTGACACATGTCTAGCACTCCTCACTAAATCTCCAATTTTATCACCTCAACCACTTGAGGCAAAACCTCTCCATACAGTTTGGAAATTTGAGCCAACATTTCAATATATATATGGTCACACATTAGCATTATTTAAAAAACTACATATTTTTAACTCTGAAAAGTTAGCTTAAAGTATAATGTAAAATATTAAAAAATAATGCCTTTTAATTTTTTTGTAAGGCTCAGAAAAAATATATAACTTAGATATTGGTTTGAGAAAGTGAATATGCCCTGCTTTGAAAGATGTAATTTTATCTTGTTTTGGGACTTTAGTAAAAAGAACAAGTGCTTACATTGTAAAATAATGTCTCTTAATATTTTTTTTTTAGAAAATTATTATTATTATTATTAGATGCAGTGTCCCTGTCTCCTATATTTTAGGCATTAGTCATGTCAAAGTTCATGCTTGAAAGCTTCAAAACCACCGTGTTATATACTTCAATAACACCCTTCCTCTTTCAACCTAATAAAAATGGAGTTTCATTGTTACCTCCTCAGTTAGACCTCCTAGGCCCATTTTACACTTTAAGGAGTAGCAGGAGTACACTCTCTAATGTACTCTTATTAACACGCTCCTAATTATTGGCTAAAATTTATTTAAAACTGTAAACGGACAAGAGAAAATCATTAAATTGAGAGTGAGAAAGAGTAAGACTCAATGATTGATGTAGTTTTTAATAAATTTTAGAGCAATAACTAAGAGTGTATGAGAAAATTAGAAAGTATATTTCTTAGTATTTCTCTTTACACTTTAGCATCAACCTAATGATATGAAGCAACAACTGATACAATAAATTCCTCACAACATCCAACTGGTGAATTTAAATTTACCTGCCATCATTATGCAGCACAACTGATACAGTAATAGCATTACAAAACTCCCCTTGTCTCAAACTCATGCCCCCCATCGCAAGATTTTCAGGAAACATAGAATAAGTAGCAGTGGGCAAGAAAACAGAAGTTCCTCTTCTCATAGCCTCCCTGCATGCAATGAAGTACATTGTTAGATAGCATACTTAACACATGTTAGAACATGTAAATAGCAATAAACATAAATTAGGGATTTGATTGATTCATTTGTATTTATGATTGATTCTATTTGTTCCCTAATACGTGATTATAAATACAACTTGTGTGCACCTACAAATCTACAACACACAACATTCAGACATATTTTGCTTATACACATTATAGAGGAACATAACACCAAATATTCAATAAAATATCTCATTGAATCACCGCCAGATACCTGTCCAAAATACTTCCAGGTTGAACATATCTAGTTGGGTCTGCAACATGTATCCAAACTTTAATCCGACCATCTTGCAACTTTGTTGCACTCAAAGCATCATCAAGCTACATAGTATGATCAGTTAATAAAACAGTAGGCTTCCTAAGATAAATGGAGCAACACTTGTAAAAATATCAACCCAATGAATAATACAAAAGGATAGATTGTTCACCTCATCAGCCTCATCAACATCAATGGCATAGACCTTTAAATCAGTAAGATTCTTCCTATTAACCTGACCATAGTAAAACACAATGATTATCTAACAATCAAATTATTAACATGTGTCCAAGTAGTGATTACTGATTAGAATAATTAGAGCAGTAAAGGAGAAAAACTGAAAAACAGGATGTAAGGAAAGCTTTAAAGTCAATCCTTTACACAGTTTAAAAATTCCACAACATATGTACTGTCCATGTATTTAGCAGATGAATTTGAATAATCCATCTTCTAAGACTAGTTACATATACATCATTAAAGCAGGTAAGACACTGGAGAATAGGAAATCTAGATCTTTAGAATTACCATGTTTGTATGACAACTGTTTATCACCTCAAATTTCAAAATCATAGCTATGAGTGATGACTTTGTTTGATTGCATTTAGCAGTTTTAGATATCCAAAATTAAATTTATAACAATCTAGTCAAAATCGCATTTTGGATCGTAGAATCGTACGATTCTACGATCTCCATCCATGTCTGCGCTGAATCGGTGCTGGGAACACGAAATGGTGGGATCGTTCTTGCTGGGTCGTAAACTCGTTGAAGACGTGTGATTTTGACGCACAAAGATGAAGGCTTTATGGGCCAACGACCCGCGACCCAGCCCAACCTCATTAAAGCTTTTGGAGCCCTAAAATCCCATAACCAACACTGTGACTTCTTCCTTTCTTCTTCACTCTGTTCTGCGAGATTGGGCGTCACTATTGTGCGACTTCTCTGCGAGGCTCTGGCGACTGGGCTTAGCTTTGACGACTGGATTTTTTCTGTGATTTGGTCTGAGCTTTTTTGCTTTTTGTGCTTTGTTTTTTTCTTCTTCATCTTCATCATCTTGGCTGCTGCGTGTAATTGCAATTTTCTTCATTTTTTGCTTCTGTGCTCTGCTTTCTGTTTTATGTGCTATTGCTGTCTGCGACAAAATGGCTTCAACTAGTAGTCAAGCTCCTCCCTCCAAGTCATTACCAAAGAATGCACCGGGAAACAAAAGTGATGTAGCATGACAACATGGAATTGCAATTGAAGGTACAAGAAAAATTCAATGCAAATATTGTCAAAAAATTATAAGTGGAGGTGCTTATCGATTGAAGCATCACTTGGCTCAAACAGCCAAAGATGTTGGAGCATGTAAATCTGTTCCGGATGAGGTCAAAAATCAAATGTGTAATTTACTTGTAACCATGCAAGAAAATTTGAATAAAAAATCAAATTCCTTTGCTGAGAGAGAAACTTTAGATACAAATGATGGAAGCAAAAGAAAATCAAGTGAGAATGAGGTGACTGGAGGAGGAAATATTTTTCGGAAAAGGACCACCCAAACAACAATCAACAACATATTCAACAAAACTAGAAGAGAGGAGGCTTGTCAAGCTATTGAAAGATTTTTTTATGATAATGCCATATCATTCAATGTAGCAAGAAGTGATGATTTTTCTGTTATGTGTGATTTAATTGCCAGCCATGGTCTTGGATTTAAACCACCAAGCTATTATGAAATTAGAGTAAAATATTTGAAGAAGGAAATAGAGTTAACAAAGGAGAGATTAGAAGAACATAGAGCTGAATGGAATATTGTTGGATGTACATTAATGACTGATGGGTGGATTGATAAGAGAAGGAGAACAATATTAAACTTCTTGGTAAATAGTCCTGAAGAAACTATTTTTTTGAAGTCTATTGATGCATCTCATATAAAAAAATCAGCTAATAAAATATTTAAAATGATTGATGATGTTGTTGAAGAAATTGGTGAGAAAAATATAGTCCAAGTTGTGATTGATAATGCAGCAAATTATAAATCTGCAGGGGAGATGTTGATGCGAAAAAGGAAACACTTGTATTGGACCCTTTGTGTAGCACATTGCATTGATTTGATGTTGGAGGACTTTGAGAAGAAGATACAAATTCATGAAGAGACAATTCCAAAAGGTAAAAAAATTATAACCTACATTTATTCAAGGACAGGTCTTATTTCTCTATTGCAACAAGGCAAAGATTTGATAAGGTCAAGAATCACTCGTTTTGCTACATCTTATTTGACTCTAGGGTGCCTTCAAGAAAATAGAGCTGCTTTGATAAGAATATTCACATCTAATGAATGGAAGTCCTCTAAGTTTGCTAAGACAAAAGATGGGAGAGTTATAGAAGAATTGATTTTGGATAGAGAGTTTTGGAAGAATATAATCACTTGTTTGAAGGCAGCATTTCCTCTTATCAAAGTTCTTCGAATAGTTGATTCAGATGAGAAAACTATGGGCTTTATTTATGAGGCAATGGATCAAGCTAAAGAGAATATTCAAATTGCTTTTAATGGTGTTAAGAAAAGGTAACTAACTATAACTACTATCAAATTAAATTAGTCTCCATTTTGTGATCTATGTTGTATTGTATATTTAATCTTTGTTGTTTGCTTTTTATCAGTTACGTACCTATATGAAATATCATAGATGAAAGATGGGATAAACAGTTCCATAGGCCTTAGCATGCTGTAGGCTATTTTCTTAATCCTAGGATGCACTATAGTCCTAAATTTAAGACTGATCTTGAAGTTAAGCGTGGACTATATGATTGTTTGATAAGGATGGTGCTTGATCAAGTTGAACAATGTAAAATTGATTGTCAACTTGATTCATTTAAAAAGCGAGCTGGTAATTTTAGGAGTCACTTAGCTAGAAAAACTATTGATATGCGTCTGCCAATTGATTGGTGGATGTCTCATGGAGATGAGTATCCTGAACTTCAAAGATTTGCTATTCGAATACTAAGCTTAACATGCAATTCTTCTGATGTGAACATAATTGGAGTGCCTTTGAGATGGTAAGTAGAAATTCTTTTTTCAAATATTATGTACTAGGCTAGCCAACTATTTTTTGTATCTTAAATTATAATTTAATATATTATTATTTGATAGGTGCATACTAAAAGAAGAAACCGTTTGAAGCAAAATACAATGAATGATGTGGTATTTGTTATGGCAAATTCAAAATTGGCCAAGAAGAAGACAGCTAGGAGAGTAAAGGATCTTCATATAAATGTAGATGATATTCCATCTGACAATGAGTAGATAATGGAAAATAATGATAGAGGAAATCATGAAGATTTGGGCCTAGAAGACAATTTGGAAGATGAGGACATTGAGGTTGATACTCTTAATGAAGATGAGGACTTAAATTTAGATCAAGGTTCAAATCAAGATGTTGGTGTTGGTGATGTTCCTAATATAGACAATTTAGATGATGAAGGAGATGATGGACCAAATGAAGAAGATGGGCCAAATGAAGATGATGAAGGATATGATGAATTTTTTTATTATCAAAATATTTTAGATATGATAAAATAGATATTTAAAGTTTGGATATTGATTTTGTATTTGGTTTAGAACTTTAGAATATGTTTATGTTGGACATGTTCTTAATATTCATCTTTTAAAGTACTGTGGTTTGAATTGATGTTTTTATTTTCTTCCTATTTATACTATTTTATATGTATATCTACAATTTTGTAAGATCTTACGTTCCATGTTACGATCCTATAAGTTACAATCCTGGACCCCCTCTCCGATCCTACGTAGAATCTCGATTTTGACTACCATGATAACAATATCCTTTCCCACCCTTGAATATGAAATTGACCAACAATATATGTACACCATGTAAGTTGTAATTAAATAGCATATTTACATCAACAGTGAAAGACCAATTGTTAAACAACATTTTTTAGAAATTTATTGATAACCAATTTTCTTGACAATTTTATCTCAATAATAAATGGCGGCATAAATCCCTCACCAAGGAACAAAAATCCTCTCTGAATGCATCAATTTTACACTTAGTAATATTTGGTTTTGAAGGATGGGAATGGACAGGTATATCAAAAATTTCTATCATGTTAATTCCATGTAACTTAAACTACTATTCTAAAGAATCAGCTATTAAGAAAGAACGTTTGTGATAGATTTCATATTTGAGCAATATATTCAGGCAAATAAAACTCACCTCATCGGGATCAGATGAGTCTAATAGAACACTTTGCGCTGCTGATATGATTACTTCTGAATGATCAGTGGGAATTCCCAACTTCAACAGATCAAGATTGACATGTACAGGAAAGTATCCAATATCTATGAGAAGTTTAACAGCTGAAGAAGCTGTTTTTGCCAGACCCATTTCCTTAAGTATCTGCTAATGACACAGAAGATCTATTAAAAGAACAAGAATATTGATAGAATTGGACCAAAGAGATTAGAACAGAAAAGAAAAAGAAAAGAAAAGAGACAAAATCCAAGAATCATGTATTATTGAGAAATGACTCTTGTTGGGGAATTGATACCCCTACACTAGTGCAGAATGCTTTACAACAAATGCTGTAACAGTCCCAATCTGGTATTCGAGAGCCTGATCTCTCCTAGTCCAATCCAAGTAATTAACCAAGATGTCCCCCACTCCCCTCTCTTTCTCCTATTTATTCCTCCCTTGTGATTATTGGTTAGTTATCAGTTATTATGTTGCTGATCCAGGGCTGGCCCACCTTTCTTGTTCCTTACATACACCTTCCTAATTAGAGGACTAACGAAAATATACTTTGGTGACAGACATAAATAACATTCTATTCAAGAGATTCATTATTACTATTCAATGATTTTCTACTAAAATTCCTAGCAAGGAGACAACTGAATCCACCAAGATCATCCTTTCTTATTGTTACGAAGTGATAGGACAGTTACACAATAGTGTTGTATGGCAGTTATGCATGTTTAGTGATAGGACAATTATATGAGGTGCAGCATGGAAGTTATGTGTGTTTCTTAAATAGGATGTGCGACAGATTTCTGATTCATTCAGTTAAATTACTGAAACTTGTTTGAAGGAGACTCCTGGTTAGGGGTTTAGGCCTGTGCTAGTGTTCTGTTCTAAATATTTTGGATTAATTCATAATTTTTCCAATTATACCTTCCAGTTTGTGTCTTCAAATTCATGAGCCTAACAATTGGTCCAATCTGCCAGATGCCACCAACTAGGACGTACTCAAGACAGAGGGATTGGAGAAACAAGTAAAGCAGATTTCCAAGATTAATGATGAGACAAGGAGATCCAACTCTGAACAGATCATTGTTTACAAATGACGGCAAAACCTTGAAGAAATGCAGCCTTTATTGAAGGAGTTCATCAAATCATTGATAGGACAGTTATGTAATGAGTTGTGTGGCAGGTATGCGTATTTTGCAACTGTAGGACAGATACATGATGTTTAGCTTGGCAGTTATGTTATGTTTGTCTTTCTTAAGTAGGTTGGGTGACAGATTTCTGATTCTAACAGGAAGTGTTGCTTTAGTAAGTGCCAAGCATTAATGCCATAAGCTTTGTACAAAACTTGCACATAATCCAATTTGTAAGTATATAAATATATGAGGAGTCTAATTAAAATAAGTTAGAGAATCTCATGCATAGATTCTCCTCTCTTCTCTATTCTTTTAACTCTTCATATTCTTTGCATAAATGAAAAGAAGCACCAATTCCTACAATGCTATATTAAATCAAAAGTTACCATCCCAGCTGTTTTCTTTTGTTCATCATTTTTACATGCGTCAATAGCATATGCTTCAAGTGATTCAATTCTGCCCCAATTTTTCTCATCAACCATCCATGAAGATTTTGGAGGTTTATCTTGAGAAGACTTTGACTTTGCAGAGGTCAGTAATTCAATAAACTCCTGAAGTTCTTTCACAGCAGCCTCCTTGGCAAGCTTCCTACGAATAAGCTCCTCAACCTGCCTTTTCAAAAATAATATTTTAGATATATATTTCCATTTATCTCAAAATAACTAGTACAGCAAACCAAAAGAATATACGCTGCCTCATATGCTAAAAAGTATCACACTTTTATGGCTAATCCAATTCACAGTATCATGAATTAGTGCTGTAAATGATGAGCAAAGAACAATCAAAGAAGATAATTTCCATGGGCACAAACCTATAACTGCACCCTTTTACCTACCCAAAGCAATTTCCCTCTTTCTAAAACAATAATAGAAGAAAATTATAATAAAATTTGGAGGATAAGGAATAATCCCTGACTGAAAAACAAAATCAAAAAAGAAAACACCAATGTAGCTTAGCTGCCCAATCACTCTGCACATTTGCCAGGGAAACCTTGTTAAGAAGACCACAAACATTACACCCAATAAAAGCCCAAAGCTTAATACATCAGCTATTGTGTCAAAAATATCTCCTTAAGAGATACAATTAATATGAGAGAGATACAATAATAGCAACATTTAATGTGTTCTTAAAGCTGAACGGAGTAGTACATTATAGTTTATACCTTGTGGAAAAGTCTGCGGTTAAATAGCAAAGTAATTACAATGTAATATAAAATCCTCCATGTGATGTCACTGATGTGTCTTCATTTAACAGTTTAAACTTTTGGGATGATTGGTTGATGACTTGGTACCATACCCTACAACCATGTGGTCTAGAGTTCAATCCCTATCACCCCCATACTTCTAATAAAAAGTTGAATTTAAGCACAAGATAGGTGAACCTATGCGTTGTCCACACTTCCAGCCTAAAGGGCTCTTGAGGAGACAAGTTAGTATAACACCATAAATGTGTCTTAACTTACAGCTAAAGCCTTTGAAATAGTTCACTCACTTCATAATAGTAATCATTTAAACTATTATTCTATGATCCCAGTTTACAAGAAATATATAACAAGTTAAATCAAAACACCCAAAATAATGCAAGGCTCTCCTTGGAGCGCATGTATATGTTAGGAAAGGACTCCAAAAGGGAGAAACATACTTTATATAAGTAATGTAAACTTATTAACTTTCTAAACCTACTCTACATATGAAACTAATACATCTACCTGCTCACTTGGTCGAGGTCCATAAATGGAACGAGATCCTTTAGTTTCAAGCACAGTAAAATATACTTCATCTTTTGACAGCAAAAGATGAGCAGAATAGCTCTCAAGCGGATCAGAACTGCCAAAAATTATCTGCAGAACAAGCAGCTCATTTAGGGGCAGAGGGGGAATGCTTTAACATCTAGTCAAGAAATCATCTTACCTCAGCCAACTCTTCAACTGTCACAGACTTATTCTTTTCAAGGAGCTCAACCCAAGCAAATTCAAGAAGTGATGGATCCTGTATCATATCAACCATAATTTACTTATTGAAAACATGTAACAAGTTATAAATTTGGCATATTATGTTACCATCCCGTAACCATTGTGAAACTGACCATGTTGTCCTGAGCCTTCTGAGCAAAATCTGCAATATCAGCTTGATCGAAATTGTCAATACCGGGAACAATATACGTCACTTGTTGTGGCTTGATGGAAGAAGTGACACCATTCTTCAGCCCAATAAAGACAAGAAACAATTAGACTCCACAAAAACTAGTAATATTCAGCATTTATAAAAACGCCATAAGTTCCGACACCTAGCAACCTATTAAACATGCCGCATTATGTTGTTTCTACTAGAACCTGATCAAAAACCATCCAATTCTTCTTGCCATCGGGTCTCTGAGCAACTGCTAGCAATACTCTATCAGAATCCTTCTTGAATTCCAAAAGCAATCCCTTTTGCAATGAACGGTTCACAAGTCTGTCTTCTACAAGCTCCTCCTTCATCAATCCCATGCTGTCAAAACAATAAATTAAATTAGTACCCAAAGCAATGCCAAAGCTTATAACAAAATTTACAAGACTTGCTTCTCGTAGCAGTTATCTCAAAAGTGACTGTACAATTCCACGTTTGGATATTGCATAAACCAAAACATGCTATGAAGCTTATATCAGATATTTTCGATTGAAGGTATAACAGTGAGGGTTACGCACATGGAAGCGGCGGCAGCGAGACGCTTCTGGCGGCGTTTGCGCGCGGTTCGGAGCTCTTCCATAACGCTCTCGAAGAGAGTGTGGATGGAGCGTCTTTGAGTTTGAGTTTGAGTTCGGGTTTGAGTTACATAATAATAATTATAATGGGGAGGGACAGAGTGGAAGGTGAGGGAGCGAGATGAGAAGTGGGTGGCGGCGAAGGAGAAGAAAGGAGGAGAAGAAGAACGGAAGATGAAGCAGTTATTCGCCGCTCGAACGGCCATGCTTCAAAACTGACGGAGGTGAATGTTCAGAGGCTCATCGCGGGTGTGGGAGGGTAAGATGATAAAAATGGAGGGTGGTGTTTGGCAAGTGAGTGGTGTGGTGCATACTGCACAGTCAAGACCAGTTTTTGTAACTTTTATACAAATTTTTATAATTTTTCTTATTTTTATTTTCTTAATTACCTTTTTTTATACTCTTTTATTTATTTATTTTACTTATGAATATATCTACAAAATACTAGCATCTATTTCTAAATATTGAATGTGAATCTCTTAAATGAAAACCTTTTTTAAAACTACTTTAAACATTTTTAATAGTTAATTTTTTCTCTATTATATCATATATTTGTTCTTTCATAGTATATATTTTTATTTAACTGCACCTTAATTTATTTTTAATAATCTATTTTTACGTTTAAAAAATATATCTCTATAATTTAGTTCTACTTGTTAATAATAATAAATATATTTATCTTTTTAAAATATTAAATTTAAAAATAATCATATAATATATTTTTTTTATTTTAAAAAATTTTAATTTAATTATTCGTGTATAATATGTAAAAAAATTCACTTGTTTGAGTATTGACATATATTTAAAATATATTTGATAAAAATAATTTTAATAAAATATTAAAATAATTACATTTGCACCTTCTAAATTTTATTCTAATTGTACTTAATATCGAATTTGTTACTATAGCAAGCATTTTTATTTAAATAGAATCAATTGTTGAGAAAATATTTATTTTAAAATATGAAATATGCAATATATTTTAAATTAATCATATAAAATTAAAATATTAAATATTAATTTTTAATATTATTAATTATCAATCAATTTAGTTATTATTATTAAAAAATGTTAAAATTAAATAATGAAATGATAGTTTATTAAGTTAAATGACATGTGGAAGTTTATTCTAAATACAAAATAATGTCGTTTTAAAAACTTTCTAAAATATTTTATTTTTATCTTTTATTTTTAAGATTTCTGAGGAGTAACATTCTTTCTACTATTGGGTGGACCTTGGCAGACATTCCAAGGATTAGCCCATCAACTTGTTTGCATAGAATTCTGCTAGAGAGGACTAAATCCCACTCTCCTAGAGATGGTAAAGAAAGAAGTGAGCAAACTATTAGCTGCTGTCATGATATACCTGATCTCATATAGTGAGTGGGTGAGTTTGATACACGTCATACTAAAAAAGACCGGCATAACAGTAACAAAGAACCAATTTGACGAGTTGATTCCAACCAGAATTCAGAATGGGTGGTAAGTTTGTATTGATTATAAGAAGTTGAATCAGGTCACTCTTAAGGATCATTTCCCCTTACCTTTCATTGATAAGGTCCTAGAGCGAATAGCAAGGAAATCTCATTATTGTTTTCTTGATGGTTTCTCTGGTTATTTTCAGATACACATAACCCTGGAGGATCAACATAATATGTAGATGTCATTCAAACTGTGTAATTCGCCTGACACTTTTAGAGGTGTATGATGAGCATCTTTGCAAAATTCCTAGAGACCTCACTTGAAGTATTCATAGATGACTTTAGTATTTATGGGTATTCATTTAATGCATGTTTAGATAGCTTGTCTAAAGTATTGGATAAGTGCGTACAATCTAATTTGGTTTTGAATTATGAGAAATGTCATTTTTTGGTGACTGAAATGACTGTATTGGAGCATATAGTGTCAAATAGGGGTATCGAGACTAATAGAGCAAAGACTAATGTAATTGTTTCTCTACCTTACCCTACTTTTGTGAAGAATGTGCGCTCTTTTCTTGGCCATGCAGGTTTCTATAGACACTTCATAAAGGATTTCAGCAAAATTGCATCTCCATTGTCTAGCCTCTTGCATAAAGATGCAGATTTCATCTTTTATCAGGGCTGTAAGGATGCTTTTGATGAGCTAATGAGGCTCCTCACTTTTACTCCCACCATTCAGCCTCTAAATTGGGAGATTCTATCTGAGCTTATGTGTGATGCATCAAACTTTGCAGTTGGTACTGTCCTTGGTCAGAAAGTGGAGTAGCAACCTTATGTCATAGCCTATGCTTCTTGCACCTTAGATAAAGCACAAACGATCTACACCACTACAGAAAAAGAGCCTTTAGCCATTATTTTCGCTTTAGATAAATTTCATTCATATTTACTTCACTCTAAAGTTATTGTTTGCTCTGATCATACAGCTTTGAGGTACTTACTTAAGAAGTCAGATTCTAAATCGAGACTGATTCACTGGATGCTTCTTTTGCAAGAATTTGACATTGAGACCAGAGATAGAAGTGGTGTAAAAAACTTAGTAGCAGACCATTGATATATATTTAGGATGACCTATGTGACACCCTTACTATTTATTACGCCATTAATATAAATATAATATTAAAATAATCCAAGCAGTAAGAAAGTCACATGTATGAGTTTACGTCTGTTCACATATATAGAAACTAAATACATCATCTGCACCAATTATCCAATTACATATATACATATCATCTGTCAAAATATACAGTCATCTAGTCATATACACATAACTGAATTATATACAAAATAAAGTGGGGTCACGATATTAGAGACAACAACCAAAAAATGACCTTACAGGCTTTTCCCTTGAACCATGATCATCAAAAGTACCATTTCCTCCAAAAGTTAACGATTAAGGATTTTGACCCACTCTTCTCTCAGTCACTAGTAATTATACCTACATATATGTATAGGCTATTCTTTACTCATCCCTAGCCTACTCTCATTTTCCACTAGGTTCCTACTTAGAGGAGGCAAGACTAGGAGGAAGTCGGCATGAGAAGTAGTCATCTTCCTTCCTATAGTAGTAGGGGTGTTTGAGCAGTGAGAGGAATTTGCAGAGTAAGAAGAACTAGAGGAAGTCAAATGAGAAGTGGATGAGATGGAGATGTGTCTGGGTAGAGGTATGTTCGCTATATTGGGTTGTACAACAGGTGGTACATAAGGCCCTAAAGATCTAAGAAAATTTGGGGGTAATATTGGGGGCGATAATACAGGGACAGGAGGTGGGACATGGGGTCTTATAAACTATACTCCAGGAAGAAATGGAAAAGTAAGTCTCATGGGTACCCTGATGGGGATGGGATATGCCTGTGAGCCTGACCCATTTCTATCTAATAAAAAGGTAATAGTGCCAGTATGGGTGAACTGTTATTGTTCCCAATCGTACGCCCATCTTCCTGCAAGATCATATCTGATTGTGAAGTTGAACTGGTATGGTAGTCGGACCATCTATATCCTCACCTACTAAACATAATCACATACAACACACATAACAACTAAAAGGGTGAGACAAACCCATTTCAACCAAAGTACAGTAGAAAACACGTCAAGATATTTACAATTGTCATAGCAAATAGCAAACAACTCAACACACAATGTACATGCTATGTATGATTCTATGCATCACCTAGTTAATTGCTATACTAACATATGCATGTGAGCCTAAACCATTCCTTTCTTTCTTTCTTTCTTTCTGGGAAGGATCAGGAGTTCACTGCCACCAACCATTCTTGGTCATAACCATCTCATTAGATAGTTTCAAAGATATAGCTAATTGATTCTGAAAATCCATCGGGTTCTGTCAGGATAGTCCAATTTTGCAGTGAGAACCGACAACACAGGGTTGTGAGCCCTAGCCTTTGTCCAGCTCAATCACACCCGACTATCCCTAAGACTAACCTAGAGTCTCCCCTAGATTTTGTATACTTCCCATCCAACACCACCATCATCACATACTTATGATGCATGACCCTAATTTCAGTCTTTTAATTAGGTATTAAACATTTCTTTTCAATCAACAACAACATATGTTTCAAAATTCTACCGACAATTTGACAGAGTTTCCTCTATAATTCAAATATTTCCAAATTTTCTTCTCTCTGCAAAACAGCCAAAAAATTCCAATACACTTCTAATTTTAAGCAGAGACTCACCACCACCACCACATTTCACAACTTTGCAGTCATTTCAATGACTCTTACATACCTTTTTCCAATTATCACCACATTTCAAAATACTCATTTAAAATAACAATTTAAAATGAATTAAAATCCTTTAAATTATTTAAATATGTATATAGGTATACTTTAAATATATAAAAACTATTAAATAAATTTTGATCAAACCACTTTAAATTAAAGAAGATTTTTTTTAAAAGAATTATTTCCTTAAGAAGAAAATTAACCATAATTCCATTTCTCAATTTCTAAAACACTTTTCAAAACCCATCAAATTTTATCTCAAATATTCCCATTTTTTTTAAACATCTTTATTTAACAAGTCTCCAATTCTTTTCAACTTTCAACATACCTTCTATATGCTCACTCCACATGAATGATAGTTCATTCCTCAAGTATTTTAGGCGATCAATTACTTATACTGAATTCAACAAAATAATTATTATAGAAGCATCCACACATAAAATCAATCTCAAAAAGGAATATCAAACAATTGTACACTAAATATGAAAATAATTATAAATTCCTTCAAATAATTTATACATACATAGCAAGTAATAAAACACCCCATCTCTCAACGTTTTTCTACTATACCCTTGAAATTAGATATGTCCCCCTTTACCTTAAAGTGTACACCGATTTTTTTCACCAACGTCTTCTTTCCACCACTTCTCAAATCACGATCCTAACCAAATAATCACACATAATCATGATCAATGTTAAGAGGCATTAATCATCTAACCTTCTACTAGTGAGTTGAAATTATCATTTTCTAATCTTTGCAAAAATGGCTTACAGGTCTTACAATTATTTTCTATAATGTAAATAGAATACTATAAGCTTAAAGGTGATTAAAAACAATTAGTTTTTCCTCATAACACTCTTAGGACAGCACCTCTAGACCAAAGGTTTTAAACCTCAAATGCATTTTTAACAAAACAAAAAGCACCAAAATTATTTATTATAAAACATAGAAGGATTAAGCTAAGTGAAACATAATTTAGAAACAAAAATTTTGGTCAAATTTTCACCCTCATGACACTGTTTCAGCACCCAAAAAGAGGGAAAAAAATAAAAATTTAATCAGTTCAAAGTGTTCAAAATGATAAA